CTATCAGACACATTCATGTGTTGATTAAAGTGCTTTCATGAGATTGCGAGAAGAGACACTGTTTTCCCAACAGACCTCAAGAGAGCCAGGTGTGCTCATAGAAATGAAAAGAGCCAATCAGAGGCACTCACTCATCCCTCCATCACTATGGAGATTTGCACACATTAACATACATCATCCCTGCTACACCACGACTCAGCAAAACCTTAAAGACATGAGACGGAGCATGTTTTTTTTCCTCGCTCAGAATGTGAGGCAGTAAAAGCAGTCACCCCGTGACGAGTCTGCATTGGGTTACAGAAATATTTGCATGATATTTCTGAACCCATCTAAATGGATGGCACATAAATCCTACATAACCAAGTAAGCTACTGGACTCATCTTTAGCATTCATTGTCAAAGTATAACTATCATCATTATTATTATCATCATTCTTATTATTGTAATACATGAGTATTGATGGCAATCAACAAACATGTAAATAACTTGATTAAAATATTTTTGGAGTCCTTCTTGTAAGTTGAAACTTTTCTAACAGTCACTGGGGAAGCATTTTAAACATATCGAATCTTGTGAGCCTGGGTTTACAAGCTCATTTAGTCATAGATTCACTTACTTTAATGCAAAAGTATGTGTGTGTATATATATATATATATATGAAAAGAGCCAATCAGAGGCACTCACTCATCCCTCCATCACTATGGAGATTTGCACACACTAACATACATCATATATATATATATATATATATATTTATTACTTTTTTTTTTTATACACAATCCTCTTTACACTATCTGAAATGCTTTGTTGTAACTCTTTGAACTTTCAAATCTTTTTGCAATTTGAGAGTTCAAATGTTGATAATGTATCAGTGTTTTCTGGGATGACCATTATCAGGCCAAAACCAGAAGAATGCTGATGAGCTGTCTCAAACGGCACATGCAAGAGATAAAAGCTGTGGATGACTGTTTGTTCAAACTCTGTTTGATAGATTATATATTTTCAGAGTGATGTTTTCCTCAATTGTTTGGAGAGGAATTGATAACTGCAGATGTTCTGAGCAAGAATCACCGGTAGCTGAAAATGTGGGACAAAAAAACAAAACAAAACAAAAAAACAACCAACAAGCAAAAAAACTGCAGATAATATTCAATCTCCAAAAACAGCAATCATAAAGTCTAAAGTTGTGAATTTTAGCTGGTAATTAATCTAACGCTTAACACTTAGGGGGTGGGGGGATAGAGCCTATCCCAGCTGTCAGAAGCAGGATATGCCCTGGATAGATCACCAATCTGTTGCCGGGTTAACACAGACAACCACTCACACTCACACCAGTTAACCGATCCCTATGCATGTCTTTAGGCTGTGGGAGAACATGCAAACTCCACACAGAAAGACAACATGCTGGCTTCAAACCTTGCTGTAACATAACACTACCAGCCACCACTCCACTGCACTGCCTACTCTATAAAATATTACAAACATTTAATATAAATCTGCACTTCTGTTGTGATGCTGAATCTCTAGCATTAGAAAGAGCAGATATACTTGTCGACTGAATACGATTTGCCTTCTTCTGATGGATTATTGTGGCATCAGTAAAGACCACCAGGGGGGCTGATAATGACCCAGCTCTGCAGCCCAAACAAAACATGAAACAGGAAACAGGCCAGTCAGCCTTGTATCATAACAGTCAGAGGCAAATGCTAGTTCTCTTAACAACAAGAATACTCATAAGACATGTTTTTACAACTTCCATCACATATTAGTATAGTGGACACACAAGAGTCAGATCAGTGGATCAGGGTTTTCTTTCCATGGTTCCTTTCAACTGCACTCTTTATTGTGCCCTGCAGCATGGTGCAACTAAATAGCTTGCTGCACAGGAAGTGCCTACGTTGCTAAATATAAGGGTGGATTAACATTTGATATTGACTACATGGCCTTGTAATTCCAATTGATCACTATCAGATGCAAATATGCAGGCAAACATGAACCTGAACCACTGATTACTTTATTTTTTTCAATTAATTTTATTTTTTCAAAAATTCAGAAAATTATCATATTTGACTGAAAGGTTACCTACACAATGAGCCAACCAACACAAAATTTCAGGATGGATGACACAGCTGATAGATGCCTAAGAAACACGCACGCACAAACACACTAAATCTTCTATGGGATTACCAAGACCTACTCATGTAAAGGTAAGCCCAGGCTATTTGTAGTACCAGCAGGATGATGATGACAACTTTCCAAGAGAGTCTCCTGCTCTAAGTGGACCATTTTGTCTTGCACAGAAAAAATAAACATCAACAAATGTAATCATTCTCACATCCACTATTTTTAATAATTATATACTGCTCATATCCTATAGTGTTGTGTTATTTTTCAGTCCTATAGGGTTAAGCTAAAAAAAAAAAAAAAAAAAAAGCAGAAAATATAAATATATACATTCTCTAGATTTCTAATTAAACCCCAAGAAGTACAGCCAAGTCGACCACACTTTAAACTATACAGTTTAGAAGACTTATTGAACCAAAACATTCTTGGTGCCAAGAGTGTGGAACTAATGTTCATGACTATTTGAGGAGTGACTATCCACATCCGCACCATTGATGTGCAGACATTGAAAGCAAAGAGCATGTGTTAGCTTTTTGAAGTCTATACATTTTTTTATTTTTTCCTCCTTTGATAAGCAAAAATATGTTTATTATTAGATAAATTAATCCATGACTTTTTGTAATTTTTCTGTGGTGGAAGAGCCAAAATCCCTGAATATCTGACATTTACTTGTTGTGTAACATCTCTTGAACCCTTTATTCATGCGTTTGGTCTTTGTTGCTGTGTGTAGGTCGAGAACCATGTTGAAATAAGCTCTGACATGTTGCCCAAAGACACAAAAACTTTCTATTCAAAGACTTTCAAGAGGGGACAATTTGGAAATTTGTCCGTAAGCTATCCCAGCTCACCAAAGCTGGTAGAGAATCTGTCTTTGTGGAGATGGAAATATTAGTGTTAGATAACGTAAAATGAAGTACCAACAATATATAAACATACAAACGAACGCCTCATGAACTAAACTACCCTGGGGTTAGTCTAAGGTTAGTTATAGTCTATACAAATTAGCATGTTTTGCTATTCAAATCATTTGGTACGTGCATACATGAGTGTGGAAAATGTAACACATCCTCTCAATCATTTTAAGAGGTAAAAATCAAAAGATGGGGCACTTCTGCTACACAACCAGAGTTAAGTGTACAGATCCAAGAAGCTACACATCAAAATTGAGGGTGGTTCATTTCCTCCTTTGGTTAAATCTAACCCAGTTCAGAAATACTTCTCATGCTTTTAATTCTGCTGCAGCATGTGTTAAGCCAGGATCCGGACAACCTTGCAGTGTTACTTGCAGCAGTGTGATCTCGCTTCATAATAGCAGGGTACTTTTCTCCTTTCTCACATTCTTGTGGAAATGACCATGTACATGAGCTAGATTCCTAGCATTATTTTATTATTGTCAGTCCTCCACTTTGACTGAAGGACTTTTGCTGAAGACATGTTTTAACTCCTCATAAAGCCTAGGACACAAACGCATACCTCTAAACTTGGTAGAAATATTCATTAAAAGAAAAAACAAACAAACAAAAAAACCCACCACAGAACTGAGGGCCAGACTGAAAACACTGAATGGAAAAATGAAAGAAAACAGGAAGAAGAACGGCACTAGAATGTGATCCATTTGTTGCCAGGAGTAAAACATGCCTACACCCAATCTGGGTATGTAGAAAATCCATTTTTACGCTAAAACAGTTTGGGGTTTTTTTAAACAGGAAAAAAAAAGGCTTGACTGCTCAGCCAGCCATAACAAACCATGCATTGATACAGGCAGATACAAACACAGTAAACATCCACGTCCAAATCTGGATGGCCCCACTGATAGACTTCAGCTTGTACATAGTGCAATCTCCAAAAGGCCAATGTGCATTTTGCTTAACAGAACAGTGGGCGACACATGGCTGCTGGTCCAACCAAAACTATAGTATCAGTGCATCTAAGCATTTAAGGAAAAACAGCTACACAGTCCTGAGAGAGCTCAGGGCTCAGCGTTTGACAGTTTGACAGTGCAGCTTTATCTGAAATTCAGGTCAGACATTGTTATAGTTGCCCTCCCTGGAGCGCTAAGGGGGTTATGCCATATGTCAGCAAATAAGCATGAATGTGGGACAATGAATGTGGGAGAGGGAAGAGATCACTTAACATAAGATAAGATGAGTTTCAAGCAGGAAGCTACAAAACTGCTGATACACTATGAACCGCCTGATCCACGGGTGGAGAAAATAAATTGCCTGCTGGTTTCTGTACTGGGCATCAAATCAGCTCGCCGCTATTAGAAAATGCATGACCCGATCAGAAAAAGCTTCCTGACAAAGATCAACAGAAGACCACGTTTGACAGGATTCTCGGAGCGAAGAGCAACGACATCCAAACCAGTACTATTTTTACCAGTTACACAGAAGCTAGCTTAGTTCACAAAGAATTTAGAGCACGCCTATCTACTCCGATAAACTCACATAAAACCACTTTCCTGTACAACGTTATTAATTTGCGTGAAAGGTGACAATGCAGAAGTAGTGGCATATCAACCGGGTCTCAGGCTGCAAGACGTATAGTTGCAGCTTTAGCTGAACGTTAACTGCACGCATTTAACTTACAGCGAGTTAGAACAGTCCATTTGCTTCCCTTAAAAGTTATCAGCACAACCATCAGCTAACAAAATCAACCAAACGTGTAACTTTTAATGTGGGAAGAAGTTGCAGATATTTTCCGCGTCCATACTCGGCTCATAACCGGGCAGCGAGCTAACGTTACTAGCTAGAAAAGCTGACCCCTCAAACAACCCGGTCAGAGGCGGCAGTTGACTGCAAATGTTAGAAAGTGAGTGCAACACCTTAAGACACAAGCGGTTCACAAATAGACACAACTGCCAACATATTTCTTACCCATTTGGGCTCTCAAGCCCTTGAGAGTCGAAGCACCCTCCGCCATTTCTATGAAGTTTTCCTTCTGTGTGTGTTTTTTTTCTAAAGCAAAGGCGCGTAACCCAGCGCAGCCGGTAGGACTCGGACACCACGGGGACGTGGACATCAAAGATAGGGCGACCAAATCAGGATGTCTCACTTTGAACAGTGTCGTAACAAAAAGTGACTTCCGCTGTAGTCAGCGATATGCAAGTATCTTTACCACTCTACGTTATTCTACCTACAAGATAATGAATCTAGTCCTGTTGTCCACTTTGAATATCGTTATGGACCCTATAATATATTTGTTTTAACTCCAACTGCCCTCTTGGCCAAAAAAAACAAACTTTTTTTTAAATGTCAATGAAACATTTTAGTGTCAGTGAGACGTTTTACCTGGATAAATGAAGGATATATAAAACTCACTTTGGCAAAAAAAACTGATTACAGGTTCTACCCTGAGACAGGATTGTTGCTTGTGGTTCAGAATAACTTGATATAATTCATGACAGATAGTTTGGACATATCTTTCATAGATTATAGGCCAACACCTCATTTACAACCGTTTAAATACATACTCTAATGAATAATATCAAGTCAGTTTGAGTCAGAAACAACATTTCTGTTGCAAGATAAAAGCTGAAGTATACAGGTAAAAAGTCGCATTGAAGATAAAAATGTATTTTTTAAGACAAATCCAGAGGACATCAGAGACTGCAACACATATAACATCACAGTTCTATCCAGATCATTGAAATGGGGCAAACTGTTTACCAAACAAAGCTATTAGACGTATAAAGATAATTAAAAAAAACAGAGAGAGAAAAATCGGAAATCACTTGTTGGCACAACAGAACCAACAAAAGAAGAAGGGACACGATATTAAAAATGCTCTGGTAAGGACAACCAATGAGATTGGACGGTAACTTTATAACGTTGATGGTTTTAGAGTTTATTTTAAAAAATAATATTTAGTGCCTCATCTTTTCACCAGACGATCGTGGTGTGGAGGCGGGGGCTGTGGGGCGCCAATACTTACAGATTACGTTTCCAATTACAGATGCGAGGACGTCACCTAGCGTTCGTATGGGTACTTGCTGCATGCTGATAAATGTAAAGTTTATCCACAAGAGCTGGTGAGAATTCCAAGGTATTCCGGTATTAGGTTTTAGAGGCAATAACAAAAATAGCGACCAATTGAATGAAAGAGAAAAAGTCCCCGTTAAGCATAGTTTGTTAATGATGTAGAATATTTTATCCAGATTTTGGAGTTTCTTGTTGTTTTCAGATTAGAAAAAAAAGACTTCAAACTTGACTGAAGTTGTGTTTACCATTTGCTTTTGAGATGGATTTGGAGAGTAGTGATGGAAAAGATTGAATACTCACCCAAACCAATGCTCCGAAGACTCTGAAGATCTAGAGATCTGGGAAGCTGGTAAGTTGGCAAACTTCTCCCAGTGAGCGAATAACACAATTTCTCAGGGCTCTCAGTTCTTTCACTTACCATGAACACTGCATCCTCTGTCCTGGTCTGTCTCACATGCTTTAGCCAGAGGGCTGCTCATCATCTTACATGGTAAACAGGAAATAACACAGCACGTAGGGTGCCTTTGCAGTGACCTGGATATCTAACACTCAACTGAGAAATAAATACTTTTCTCACTGCGTTGTTACAGTACATGATCTATTAAATATATATATTCGACCGAAGACGAGAACCTCAGAAAAGTCAGTAATCTGGTATGATTTTATTCCCATTAATACACCAATGCATCATTTCACTCAAAAAATGTTCCTTTAATTAAATGTCATGCTTTTATGTCTCAATGGTAGGTGTTAGATTGACTGAATGATCTGGTGAGAGTCCTGCAAAAAAGAGCAGAAAGTCTCTACAACACTTGCCACCCTCTGGATCTTTAAGACATTATTGTTTTACCACAGCTCTGTGTATCCTCTTGACAACTTCAGAATTAGGCAAGAGTGCAGCAGCCTGGGCCAACTGGGGCAGTAATGTGTAGGTGGAGGTCCGCAGGTACTGAAAAAGTTCCTGGAAGCCTCGGATATGAGGGATGATCTGCGGTGGAACACCCAAAGACTGTGCCAGTCTCCTTAGAGCTTTGATGTTGTCAGCAGAGTCAAGCAGGATAGACAAGTCCTGAACTGAGTCGTAGTCGAGCATCTCAATCCTCTGTCCTGCACAACATCAGCACAGTACAAGTAAAATCAGTGGCGTACCAAACAGAACTCATCCTGATAGAAAACTTTAAAAACTTTATAAAAAGGACCCTTTTTCAAATACATATATACATCCCCCTCTTGACCCTGCAGCAGTCTTTAGCCTTCAAGCTCAGGTCCTGAGACCTGGGAGCTTGAGTGTCCTGTGCAGTATCTTTGCTGTTCCTAGGACTGTGTTCTTCTGGACAGAGATCTCAGTTGTTGTTCCCTGGATGTGCTAAAGCCACTTGCCTTGCTTGGGAGTCACTGCAACAAGTGCTCCGATTACCACTGGGGCCATTGTTGCCATCACCCTCCACATCTTCTCTTGATTGTCTCAGGGGCATCTTTACACAGCCTTCATCTGGAGTCTTGCCTGGTGTGATAGACCCTAGCCTTTTTGGATGTTTTGCTGAGAGCTTGTTCCTTTGCTGCCATGATTAGTGTCTCTATGCTGTCTTTCAGTCCAGCTTTGTCCAGTTACTGGTACGATTTCTGGATGTCAGCCACTTCCTCTATCTTCCAGTGGTACACACAGTGCAGGGCCCTGTCTTTCCACTATGGTTCTTCTCCTTTCTCTTCTGATTTCTCAGGTTTCTGCTGCCTGAGGTATTCACTAAGTATCCTGTTGGTTGTGGCCATCTTCCTGATGGACTCATGGATGTTTGTTGTCTCATCCTGGACAGTGGTTCTGACACTCACTAGTCCTCAGCAGCCTTCCTTTTGCTTAGAGACAATCCAGTACATAACAGCAGGGTGCAAGATGCTAACAGGCATGGCATTCATGGAACGCCATAACCAAGTGGCTGGCATAGTATACAGAAACATCTGTGCCGAGTATGGCCTTTAAGTCCCAAGGTCAAAATGGGACACACACCCTTGGGTGGTCGCGAATGTCCAAGCTAAGATCCTGTGGGACTTCCAGATATAGATGGAGAAACTGGTGATGGCTAACTGTCCAGACACAGTAATGGTGGACAAACAGAGGAAGATGTCCACAGTAATAGATGTAGCTATACTGAATGATAGCAACATCAGGAAGAAGGAACACGAGAGGTTTAAAAAACCCTAAGAGCTGAGAGAAGAATTCAAGAAGATGTGGGGGGTGAAGAGGTAATCGGAGCACTCAGTGCAGTAACTGCTCCAGCAGATCAGGAACAACAGGGAATTAAAAAATAAACAAATAAAATAAAATATATAAAATATATATATGCAGCTGTAATGGCTGGTTTGGGACGTACATACCTTCAGCAATCTCCCATATGTCCTGCAATTGTCGTTCCATCTGATAGTGACATAATAAAAGCGACAGAGTAGAAAAGAAGTAATATGATAGTCACCCAATTTATACATGTGTGAAATACATTGACATATAACTCTGTTTTATTACTGAAATGTTTTGAATGAATAAAAAAGGAGCATCAATCTTTGTTGTCATTATCAAGTAAGAAAAAAAATTAAGTGTTAGCCAGATGTTTGTGTTTTTCTGTTTTACATTGTTATAAATTAAATCATTTGGATTATGAGATTCTGAGTCAATATACTGAATTCAATCAAACTTTAATCTCAAAGTGATTAACTGACAGTGTCAGTCTTCATTACTGTATGTGTCATTATACTGTGTTTCTCTTGCATATATCATGCAGTGGTATTATACATACACAAAGCTGTGATTCTCTGTTAATGAGTCCTGATCTGCTCATTAACCTGCTATCATTACTATTTGGAATATTTTATTTTAAAAGCATTTTTTTTTTATCTTCTGGGAAATTGTTTGCAGTATCTTAGACTTTGGTTCCAGAAAAGAAAAAAAAAGTCATTTCTGGTAAGTAATTTTCTGTGTCTTGTTCTTTATTTCTTGGAAGAAGAAAGAAGTCCCCGTGGCATAAATCTCAGTAAATCAGGAAACAAAACCAAAGTTTTCTTCATGGTTAGATAACACTTTGACTATCAAAAAGCTAAACTAAACTAAACTAAACTAAACTAAACTAAACTAAACTAAACTAAACTAAACTAAACTAAACTAAACTAAACTAAACTAAACTAAACTAAAAAAAATGATTTTGTACATGAAATATACATAAAATATATAGTATATAACTTCCTACATTTCAAGTTCCTATAGTTTGGCATTGCTAAAGGTGGACTCTAGGTGTGATAGTGATGAAGCTATAGGTATAAACTGTACCTCCTGTGTGATGAGGCTTTGTTGTTCCTCCTGTGTAATACTGTCTGTATTCTGACTGGAAGGCTTGATGTTGGTGGTGACATTAATCACAATAGAAGTAGGATGCACCCCATTCTCATGGCTCACGGAGTACAGACCTCTAGGTTTATAATAAACAATGACAACAATGATTATATCTGGACTGATACGGATAAATGAAAGGCATGGATGTTATAATATTCACAAAGCACCTTGTTGGATTTTCAGCTGAAACTATCTGTAAGGGCGCCTCTTCTGGCTGTGCTGCTCTGTCTGTATGGGTGAACAAAGGTGTGCGCTGAAGGTCGGCAGCAGATAATATTCCTTCAGGCTTGGAAGCGTATACAGGAACTTGCTCTAAAAATTGCAACAAGTGCATATGATCCCATGTTAGTTGAGTAAACAAGAGATAGGTGGGGAGAAGTAGCAGAAACCCGAAACATGATCTGGCTTACTGAATTTTTCAGCAGTCAGGTGTAAACCCCAAAGAAGCAAAGCAAGAAGGAAAATCAAGGAAGCTGTTGCTGAAACAATCAGGACCACTGAAAACGTTTCTTCTTTGACTCCTTAGGGAGGGAAAAGGCAGTCAGGTAAAAGTGACTACAAGACTAATAAAAAAGTTATTCATGATATGAAGTAACCCACTCTTCTCTTCTGGGTCTCTGAAATGTTCTTTAGGTGAGTTGGTGATGCTCTCTGTAAAAGA